CAAGAGGCAGATTTTTGGTGTTCTCTGCTTGGAGGGGGTTTGGGTGTGTCCCCCCCCGCCCCTTCCCTTATATCTCACTTATGTCTGTGTGGCAGCTGTTGCTTCTTTTAAGGAAGCAAGTTTTTGAACTCAGGTTTCTGTTGCTTATCAGCACTGTATATTAAAGACATTTTCTTCACACCTCTAAAACCATTTACATATTGAAAAATGTAGATGTTTTGCAGAAGTGATTTTTTTAAAAAATAAGGTTTAAAGATAATACTAATTTTAAATTACTGAAGAATTTTTCAAGAGTTGCTGAATTTCCATATGCTTAGGGATTACAAGTGGTGAGACGAACACGAGCAACCATCAAATCTGAGGTGAATTATACGTTTGAAGAGAGTTTGAGTTCTGAGGTACAGTAAAAAAATAATGAACTTTGAGTGATACATTTGTCCAACACAGATTTGTTGACTATTCGTATGGTTTCTTAGAAAGCTCTTCTTTGTGAAGCTCCTCAGCAGTATCAAAACTACAAACATTGCATCACTAGAATAAATGTATTTTGTGAAATGTCCTGAAGGCAGGATTCTTGTTGCTAGCTGTCAAAAGCAAGAAAGAAAAATCATTAAGGTTGCAGTACAGAGGCGAATACAGAGCCAGCCACGAGGGTCATGTTCTAAACAAACCTTCATTAAGCATTCTTTGTTACTGTTGTTAGCCAGCGTATTATTAAATACAACATTAATTAAAGAGTTGCATGTTATGAGGGTGCTTTTTGCCTGAAGATCAGATTGCATTTTCACATGCTTCAAGAATGTACGGCCGTCTTCTTTCATCTTTTGGGTGTATTCTCTCAGTAGTTATTAAAAAAACAGATCCCAACAGCCTAAAACTGGTTCTAAATTTGTATTTTGTGTGTGTGTATCTATTTATTGTCTGTATATATCTGTGAGATGTGTATTCTAGTGCCCCTTTTCTCAAGTAGTTTTAAAAGCTTTGAGTAGAATTAAAATGATGTAGGAATTACTTGGCTTTCTTTGCTGTAGTGGTTGAAACTAGAGACCTTTCCTTACTGTCTAATAAACAGATCCTAAACCGACATGTTTTTCAGCTTAGAAGGGTGTAAATTTAAGCAAAATAATAATTTAGCTTACATTAACTC